ACAGTTTATCATTTAAGAAACTCACTTGAAAGTTGCTGCATCATAAAACACACAATGGCTCAAAATACGTGTACAGGGAGGGAGACTACCAGGCCTGAGTGTGAGAGAGCATGCAGGAGAGAGTGAATGAGTGGGAGAGTTTGTGCACACACGCACGTTTGGGAACGCTGCAAATGGGGAGAGATGGTCAGCAAAGCGGTAAGGGCGATGTGAGTCTGCAAAGGGAAGGAGAGAGGCTGAAATGAGGATGAAATAGGAGTTGCAAAGGAAGAGAGCAGTTTTAAACGTTTCAACAAAATACTGAAGTAACTCAGAACCAGGAAACCCAAGGCAATGAATTAATTGAAAACGCATCTCGCTCAAGACTGCAGCAGTTCAACAGCTGCTCGATGGGCAAATAGATTTGTTGCCATTTTAGTGTACTCCATATCAATTGGATAATTCAATACTGTAAATGTTTTTTTAGGATTTGTATTTGCATGTTATAACTTGGCACAAAATGTAAATTTTTTGAGATGCAGTGACTGTGTTCAAGTCAAAAATGCAATTCATGAGGTCTGACCTCACCAGGACACAGTCTGTTCTGAGTGATGGCGTGTTAAAAAATAAATTGACCACTAACTTGTGCGACAAAAAAAGTAACCCCATACCATATAACAGGCTGTCAGAAGGAAAATTCAGCTTAAGTAGTTGGCAACTCCAGCATAGCATCAATGAATCACATACAAAAATGCAGCCCACGAAAACACTTGAGCAAGAGATAGATTTGACACAAATGATGGAAAAGAAAAAATAGTGCGTTAAATGGAGGAGTATTTAGTGTCATTGGGAGGTTTATATTGAATTTTCCATGAAGCGTCAGAAATGTTACTGCCATGTCTCATCTCTCTTGCACCAAGCAGCAAAAAAATGTTGTCTAATTGCAACATGTGTTGAGAAATTTAAAATTAGGTCCAATGAAAAACAATCATTTTCAAGTTTGTGAATGTGATACATTATAAATCACAGATATGAGAGGGATTGCAGTCATCTAGGTCGAGTATATAGAAGACAACTGTACACAAACTACACAAGTCTGCACAGATCAAAGTGTAATTTTATCATCAGAATTAGCCACACTACCTTTCTTTTGGGTCCATGAAGAATAAAGTTTAAACAAGGAAAATTAGGTGCAATATGCAAAATCTAAATATATAAATAACAAAATAAGCCATAATAACAAAGTAAAGCAGAATTTTAGAAACTGGAATGTTCTAGCAGATAAGAAAAATCTATTTCAACGCAAAATGGAAAGACACAAAACAGTTGGCCTGGATAGCCCAACATGAAGGCAGTAACACAATCAAGGGAATCAAATAACTTTGAACTGTGAACTAGCTACT